AGAGAGAGAGAGAGAGAGAGAGAGAGAGAGAGAGAGAGAGAGAGAGAGAGAGAGAGAGAGAGAGACAGAGAGAGAAAGAGAGAGATAGAAAGAGAGAGAAAGAGAGAGTTGGTGCCATATATCACGATTAACATTTTATTCCTCAATCCTTTCAAAACTTTGCGTAACATTTTATGTCATTCATATTGTTCATCTCAATGGCGCGTAGTCACTCTTTCTACACACATATACACATACACACTCTACTTCGTGCACACATATATATACACACCCGCACTCACACGCATACACACACACACACACACACACACACACACACAGACACACACACACACACACAGACACACACACACACACACACACACACACACACACACATACACATACACACTACCCTGTTCATATCTCTAAATATTCATCCTTTGTGTTTTTGTCTTTTCTCTTGTCGAACGTCTAATGAGTCTCTCTCCTTCGTCCCCTTCGTTCTGCTCCTTGTTATTTTCCCCGACATCTTTACCGCCAGCATCCCCCTCTGCATGTGCAACTTGCCCTTCCTCGCTCTCGGAAAAGCAATTAATTACATTGGCCGATGTGTTGGACCCTTCGAGATTCTTATTCTGTTCCCTCTCCATATCATTCAATAGTTTCATCATCTCGTCTGAGTTTTCTTTCGCCTCGGCTGCAAGTTCTGTACACACCTGGTTGCATCCCCTTCGCAACCACATCCTCCACTGAAGGAGTGAGACTCTCCATTTGCGATGCCCCTTTGTTTCCCACCTGTGTCACAAGCGGAGACCCGTATGATGCAACGTTTGATTTTTGTTCGACCGCCAGAGACGCAGGAGCTCCCTTAAACCCCGTAGTCGTCCGCTCTCCATCTCCTTGAAGAAGGGTGTTTCCCTTCTCTGTGTCGTTTGTTGCGACACGCGTTTGACTCAGCGCTTCTTCTGCACTCACTGCAAAGTTAGTCTGCGACATTGCCGCAAGCTGGGAACATCCAACATGAATGCTATCGAGTCCGTGGCATGTGGGAGGCTGTTCGATTTTCCAATCAATTTTGTTATACGACCGGCTTGATGGAAAGTCGTAAAACTGATGCTTGTACTCCAAGCGATTGTTGGAGTGTAAAGACTCGAACAACGATTAGGCCTTCGCGCAGATAAGGGCTTCATCGACACCATGGTTTTCCTTCCTAACGCGTAATACGATTTCGCCGTTTGTGGTTTTTAACCATGAATCTTCTGCCATCCTGGGTTTGACTTTCCATCCATCCCTCAGATGCAGTGTCATTGCCCACTTCCCCTCGTTAATGCACGGTTCGAACACATCTGGGTGCCACAGTATGTGATGCCCCCACTTCTCTGACGATGTCTCTTCCCCCACGTCATGAAATAAATAGGGCGAGGTGGAACCCTGCATGAAGCCTTATGGAATATCATCACCGGGTGTCAACTTCAGGAAGACACCTGGAACAACCAAGTCATCCTCGTCGGCGTCTTCCTACACGTCGTTCATCCTCATCCCTCCAGACATTCGTCCGATGAACCTTTTCCCTCCTTGATACCCATAGCGATTGTCGTGAAGCAGGGTGTTAATTACGACTTGAACGGCTGTCGGTGAATCCCTTGGGAATTCACCAGCGGAACTTGCCCTGTCCTGTGTGTCAACCACATGAGTGCTCAGTGGTCCGGATTGCTGCAGACCTCCTTCAGGGTTCTCGTTTTGCACGGTGTCGTCCGCAACATTTTGCACTCCCTCACGACCACGTGCACCATCTCGCGAACGCTTAACCCGTAGGTCGATTTCAAGGTCCAAGGTCTCAGTCTCTGCATCGCTTTCAATCGGATTCCACGCATCGGTTCTACGTGCGACGTCACTGTAGTCGTTGTATGTCAACTTGCTGCAATGTCTCATGAACTTTAGTTCTTCGCATCGTGCCACAAACAACGCGAATGCCCCCACCTCCACCTTGTGGTAACCACCATATGCTTCTTGTGCCATCACTTTACGATAGATTTACTTGTGCTGGAATGCAGTCTTCGGGTCGCCCTGGAACAAGTACTCCCACATTTTTTCTCTCTTTTTCCCCAACTTGTGGTACATATCCCTGTCCGAGCGTTGTGTGCTCTTATGTTTCTCGATGGTGCAATCGTTTCTCGTATCCTTGGCGAGTATTTCGATGGCCTTTGTCAAATATGCGATGTCTTTCGACGATGCATCGCACGCAAATATATGGTTCCCCGCGCGCAAAAGCTCCCACGCAAGGTCAGCATGTGGCTTCCCAAGGAGTATAACCCCTTCGTCCTCATGCATAAATGAGCTGCAAAAGGTTTGTAACCGCTGCGGCTCTCGTTCCCAACGCCCATACTCCTCTTTTTCATTGCCTTCATCGTCGTCATGCTTTGCTGCACACCTCTTAAAAAACTCTTCCACGACATTTACTTCCACAATGTCCGCTTTTGAGTGTGACACTCTTATAACCTTTTTGAGGTCGCCTCCCTCGGCATGCAGGACGATCGCCATCGTGTCCTTACTCTCGATTTGCATATTCCCATATTTATTCACAGTCGTTCCGGCCCCCATAAAGCACTTCCAAGTGTCCGGTATCACCTCGACGTTCTCCCAGTTGTAGAGGTGTCGCATGACGGTCTTGTGATGTTTCTGTCGCACGAAGACGATCAATGTTCAATTCTCGCCGCACAACTTTGACATAATTTTGTATAGAGCGTCGAAGTCCTCCGACTATCACGCAGAGCAATGCGACGGTAATGCAAGATCCAAGATGGCGGCCTTGCAATTGAGGTTTGTGGCAATGGTAACGACTTCGTCTTGCGCAGGCAGCAACTCCTTTGGGTGCATATTGATCGATAGCAATGTTGCTCGTCGCTCTTTCCCTTCCCACAACAGGTGAAGCCCAACATTTGAGAATCGCCGCATCTCCGTCATGAGCAAATCCACCTTTCCTATCGCCTGGTACACGAAGACCTTAAAATGAAAGGGCGCATCTGCGGCCTTCAACCCTGTTCCTTTCAACCCTTTCATTTCTTGGTCGCCACCAAGTCGTTTTGGTCGCCACCAAGTCGTCCTATGCTTCCGCCGTGACACCGTACCTCTCTCTCATGCCCTTGTAATCGAAGAAGAACTTTTGGTTTCAGTCGTCCTTCTCTCTGTTCTCCGATTTGAACACGATGTAGTTGAAGAGACACATCATGTACCTCTCGCGCATAATAATGTCAAGGAGGTTGTTCATGTTCAACTTCCCCGTAGGAACCTGTCTAGCGGTGGCTATGACCTTCTTGTTGATCATCAGCCTCAATGCGACTTCCTTCTCTCGCGTCGTCTTATCTCCAAAGCATTTAAAGTTTGATGGAACGAGATCTTTGAAGGTGACGGTGGCTCCATGCCCCCTGTCCTTAGCCGCGATGCAATGGAACACCTCCTTTTTCCCATTGACTTCTTTCGTATATTGCCCCGAAAGCTTCCCCTTTTGCCTCCCCGGCATATCTTTAGGGCACGTGCCATCGTAAAGTGGCAACTCTCCTGCTTCGAACTTCTAAAAAAACTCTTTCACCAACGGTCATATCCACCTCTTATACGTCGCGACGTTCATGTACCCTCTCATCCCGTTTGACCAGTCGGGCTGCCACTTCGGATGCAAAGCCTCAGTCTAAAGGTTTTTTTCACATGACCGACCCATGCAAAGCCTCATGAATTCCCGCCACGTCTCATGGTGCATTTTACCGTTCATGTCGTTTTCAACTGCCTTATAACCCACAGGCTCGATGTAATTCTTCAACCGCCAAAAACCTCTTATGTCTTCACACGCCTGGTGGAACGACGGTAACATGGCACGGTCACCTCTCGTGTTGTCGTATGTCGAAACAAACGAATACCCGTGTTTATGATCGTTGTCAAAATAAACAACACGCATGCGGTCATAATCTCGCAGGAGATCCCCGACGTGCCACTCTTTTCATGGCCTCTGAGGTGTACTGCCTAGCAACCGGGTAATAGAAGTATTCCTTCGCACGCCTCCAATCGAAGTCTTGCGGAAGAACACGTGTTCCTTGGAAATTGGGGTCATCCGCACAAGGTGTAATTGGAGCGAGTATCAACTCCGGCGGTTCCCACAGAGCATCATCATCCACACCCCTTTGAGCAGTGAACCTATCAATTGCTGTATCGAGACCTGCAACAATTGCCTTGTTCAGCGACCACTGGTTGAATGTGATTTCCCCCTCGGGAATCGGAAGAATTGACATGACATCTATGCAAACCCTTGGCACGTCTTTTCTTTTCCTCTCGTCTTCATCATACTCGAGAAAGAAGCACCGTGTCATGTTGACCGCACGGGGCCTCTTCATTTCTGTTTCGTCCTCGGCAATGAGGTCAGGCCGACGAGGGCCCACCCCTTCAGCATCGTCGCTTGAATCATCTGACTTGGGAAGCCTTGATGAGCGTGCAACCCTCTTAGGTTGTGATGTTTTGCGAATACGACTGCCTTCTTTACGTTTTTTGGCGGCTTCGCCAAGCGTTTCCTGTGATGCATCCAAGGCACATCGAGCATCATCCACAACTTCTTTTCTGGCTTGTTTCTTCATCGCCGCTGGTGTGAGGGATGCATTTGCTTTCCGCTTACCCCTAACCTTCGAAGCTCCACCCGTTTCTACATCGTCATCCCCTCCATCGTCCTCCACATCCTCATTCTGCATTCGGTCACTTTGTTCCCTGTCATTGTGTGGCCCACCACTCGACGCACCCATTTCACATTCCATGCCACCCGCAAAAGATTCCTCTTCGCGCCGGCCGCTGCCACCGTATTCCGTATCCTGTTCCTCATCCGAACAGTCGTCACCACATCGCTCACTGCCACCAGTACGTTGTTCGAGTTCCACGTTCCCTTCGATGTCTCCAACGGCTCCCTCGTGTCGTGAGTCCTCCAAGAACCCTACGTCCCGTCCGCGGAACCCAACATCCTCCTCCATTTCCGTTTGCTCCTCAGACCGTTGGTCGATGGCTTGAAGATCCGTCTGCCGCGAGCGTGAAGTGCCAGTAGTCGCAGCAGGTCCCTGTAGTTGCGGTGGAGGTGTGGCGAGTTGGTTCCTCTTCGCAGGCTTATCTGATGAACCTGCCCCCGACCGCTTGGAGTACGTAATTACCTTCTGAACAACGTCTGAATGTTCTTGAGAAGTTGAAGGCACTTGGCGTGCTTCCCCACAAGACTTCAAAACGCCAGCGACACCCTGGACCGGAGTGTCGTACGGGACAAGCAGTCCTGTGAACTAATGACCGGCGTCTACCTTCGGGGACTGACCACTTTTTCTATAGCTGTTTGTTTTGTTAAGGAAATCCACCGGATGAACCATCTGAAATTCACTTCCAGCCCCCTTCGCTTCGAAGGGTTTCATACCGAACGGCGTCTGACCGTACCCTTTGAACAGGGCTAGGTCGAGGCTGACTTTCTTGTCGGAGCCGACCCAGTCGGTGCCCTGTTCATCGTAAACGGAAGTGAGATGGAATTTCCTCAAGTCTCTGTCGTCAACCTTGCCCTTCTCCGTCGTCGCCTTATCACCCTCGGACTTCATGATGCCACCACAACAGTACCAATTCAGACCTCCGTCTTCCGTCAAGAAAACTATAGCACCACATCCGGCCTCATGGGTGCCACCCACCTAGTCAAGAGCCCAAAGCTTATCACGGTAGAGTTTGGACCTGTTGTTGACCCTTTTCTCCCCATCTCCTGAAGTCCTCGGTTTCCTTCCTGGATGGACAAACATACGCAAAGACCGACCGAACAAACAGACAGTTGTCATCGCCATATCACCAACTGGATCCCCTAACATCAGACCCTCTCAAGTGATCGTTCCAGGGAGGGTCTCCATTGGTGCACGAAGTTGAGTGGGGGTCCAGCGTTTGTGAAACGCTGGATCCTCCCCCCTATCTGTGCCGAAGGGGGAGAGTCCGGCGTTTCACAAACGCGGACCCCTTGGGGGCACGAAGTGCAGCGGGGGTCCGACATTTGTGGAATGCTGGACCCAGTCCCCTACCTGTGGTGAAGGAGGAGAGGGTCCGGCATTTCGCAAACGCTGGACCCCACGAGGGCACGAAGCAGAGAGGGTTATACACTCTCTGCATACAAACTCCCCTGGGCTAGCGCATCGTACTATCACAGATACTACCTGCGCACCACCCACGGGACGAGTCCTTTAAGAAGGGGCAGGGTATCATCACCACATCACCAACTGTAGCCCCTAAAAGCAGTCCCTCTCAAGTGATCGTTCCAGGGAGGGCATCCCTTGGTGCACAAAGTTGAGTGGGGGTCCAGCGTTTGTGAAACGCTGGACCCTCCCCCCTATCTGTGTCCAGGGGGGAGAGGGTCCGGCGTTTCACAAACGCGGACCCCTTGGGGGCACGAAGTACAGCGGGGCTCCGGCGTTTCTGGAACGCTGGACCCACTCCCCTACCTTTGGCGAAGGAGGAGAGGGTCCGGCGTTTCGCAAACGCTGGACCCCACGAGGGCACGAAGCGAAGCGGGCACCACCCCCTCTGCACGAAAACTCCACAGGGCTAGCGCATCGTACTATCACAGATACTGTCTGCACACCACCCAGGGGACCAGTCCTTTAAGAAGGGCGAGGGTGTCATCGCCACAACACTAACGGGATCCCCTGGCAATAGACCCTCTCCAATGATCGTTCCAGGGAGGGTGCCCCTTGGTGCAATTCGGTTATGTACAGGGCCCGGCGTTTCGCAAACGCCGGACCCCCCTGCTGGCAGGCAGAGGTGTGGGGGTCCGGCGTTCATGAAACTCCGGACCCTCTCCCTCTTCGGCACCGAAGGGGGAAAGGGTCCGGCGTTTCGCAAACGCCGGATCCCCCCGCTGGCAGGCAGAGGTGTGGGGGTCCGGCGTTCGTGAAACGTCGGAACCTCTCCCTCTTCGGCACCGAAGGGGGAGAGGGTCAGGCATTTCGCAAACGCCGGACCCCCCCTGCTGGCAGGCAGAGGTGTGGATGTCCGACGTTCGTGAAATGCCGGACCCTCTCCCCCTTCGGTGCCTCCCTCTTCGGCTTCGGCACCGAAGGGGGAGAGGGTCTGGGGTTTCACAAACGCGAGACCCCCCTGTTGGCAGGCAGAGGTGTGGGGGTCCGGCGTTCATGAAACGCCGGACCCTCCCCCTCTTCGGCACCGAAGGGGGAAAGGGTCTGACGTTTCGCGAACCCCGGACCCCCCCTGCTGGCAGGCAGAGGTGTGGGGGTCTCTCTCTCTCTCTCTCTCTCTCTCTCTCTCTCTCTCTCTCTCTCTCTCTCTCTCTCTCTCTCTCTCTCTCTCTCTCTCTCTCTCTCTC